CATACAACAATCTACATATCCAATCCTGTCAACGCGAGGGCGGATCATTCAACAATCTACATATCCAATCCTGTTTATGTGAGGGCGTATCATATAACAATCTACATATCCAACCCTGTCAACGCGAGGGCGGATCATACAACAATCTACATATCCGATCCTGCCAACGCGAGGGCGGATCATATAATAATCTACAAATCCAATCCTGTCTACGCGAGGGCGGATCATACAACAATCTACAAATTCAATCCTGTCAACGCGAGGGCGGATCATACAACAATCTACATATCCGATCCTGTCAACGCGAGGATTGATCATACAACAATCTACATATCCGATCCTGTCAACGCGAGGGCGGATCATACAACAATTTACATATCCAATCATGTCAACGCGAGGGCGGATCATTCAACAATCTACATATCCAATCCTGTTAATGTGAGGGCGTATCATATAACAATCTACATATCCAACCCTGTCAACGCGAGGGCGGATCATGCAACAATCTACAAATCCGATCCTGTCAACGCGAGGGCGGATCATACAATAATCTACAAATCCAATCCTGTCTACGCGAGGGCGGATCATACAACAATCTACATATCCGATCCTGTCAACGCAAGGGCGGATCATGCAACAATCTACAAATCCGATTCTGTCAACTCGAGGGCGGATCATACAACAATCTACATATCCGATCCTGTCAACGCGAGGGCGGATCGTACAACAATCTGCATATCCGATCTTGTCAACGCGAGGGCAGATCATTCAAGAATCTACAAATCCAATCCTGTCTACGCGAGGGCGGATCATACAAGAATCAAAAAATTCTATCCTGTCTACGCGAAGGCGGATCATACAACAATCTACAAATTCAATCCTGTCAACGCGAGGGCGGATCATACAACAATCTACATATCCGATCCTGTCAAAGCGAGGGCGGATCATACAACAATCTACATATCCGGTCCTCTCAACGCGAGGGCGGATCATACAACAATCTACAAATCCAATCCTGTCAACGCGAGGGCGGATCATACACCAATCTACAAAACGGATCCTGTCAACCCGAGGGCGGATCATACAACAATCTACATATCCGGTCCTGTCAACGCGAGGGCGGATCATACAACAATCTGCATATCCGATCTTGTCAACGCGAGGGCAGATCATTCAAGAATCTACTCATACAACAATCTACATATCCGATCCTGTTAACGCGAGCGTAGATCATACAACAATCTACATATCCAATCCTGTCAACGCGAGGGCGGTTCATACAACAATCTACAATTCCAATCCAGGTCATTTGATAACATCCTATCAACTCGAGACCCCAATGTAAGGACTTAGAGACGTGACACAGGCAGATATATGTGATAGTTCCAATAATGACCTATTCTAAAAATATCACACACGCAAATCAACCCATAACGAGGCCAAGGATATCTGATAATATCATGTATAGGTCAAACAGATCTCAATGTGAATAACACCAGGAAACAGTACGCGTTAATCCCATTGGTCAATAAACATACCTACATCCTGATACATCATCGTATCACAAAGCAGCGTTATGTTTGTTCATGAATAACAATGCCAATGTGCAGATGCATGCCTCAATTTCCCATGAATACGGGTTTTTAATCGGATCACAAAATCCCAAACAGACCATGATACTCATTTAGATTCTATGAACGTGCTGTATCAAATAATAGTCCAAACTACACTACCTGGATATTTACACACCTGTGTGTCTCATGGATACCACTCAAAGCACTGTTAATTTATCCAACTCGCCGAGTATATTTTTTTCAGATGGTCATGCAATTCAAACTACAGCCGTGCTGTGTCTCGTTAGATCAAGATCATATATCATGGGCTTTTTTTTATTAACCATTGGTTGAAGACAATAATATGCTCGTCCTGCTATTAAACGTTATTTAGAAAAAAATGTTTACATTACAGAATATAATATATTATATTTATTTGTTTAAAGTTGTCTATCAGAAATGTCTGACGGGGTTTTCTCAAAACCTATCTTTTTAAAAGTAGGTTTTGTCGTTAGATGGTATTGAAGAAATCATTGTATCTGCTACTTTTGAACATGCATTCCATTGTTATCACGATTGCTGCTGTGTATTGACAGGGGATCAGATAGCTCTGTACATGTAAATACAGTAGACTGGTCGTGGAAGACACTTTATTACCCAATAACTATCACGTGTGGTAATTGTGCACCGAAAGGTATTTTTCTACTAAAAGTATTAAAGGAAGTTCAGATTTACATTATCGTGATTTCAAAAAAAAAAAAAATGTGTATGCAATATCGGAGGCACGGTAGTTTAGTGATGATATAGAGTACCGGGCTCGTGACCGACGGGTTGCGGGTTCGAGTCACTTCGGGACACTGTGCTGTATCTTTGAGCAAGATACTTTACTCCGCTTGTTCCAGTCTACTCAGCTGTAAATGAGTACGTGGTTGGGCAGTGGTAACTTGTTGAATGCTAGCTGTGAGCTCCGAAATTGCAGCACCGGCTGTATGCTTCACAGGGAGTTGAGAAAGATATTGACTGGTTACAAAGGACCTATAACCACGGATACTAATTTGTGAACCGCTTTGAGACGCCCTTCTCACTAGCTTGTTTATAAAGTGGTATATAAGAGCCTCGAATGATTATTATTATCATTATAATGTACGTATCGTTTCAAGACCGACTGGTTCCTTTGTCAAGTCATGACTGAGTGAGCGATTTGTATTGAAAACATACTTAGATTCTTACTGATTACAAACCCTCATGGTAGATATACCTATGGGCAGGATTGGTGTACGCTATCCTTAAATCGCTCCTTTAACCATAAATAGAACTATATTGACTGAAACTATCAGTATTTAATTTTTGGAGTGTATAAGCCCAGAATCCAGTCTCTATTGTTACAGTTTACACCATTTAATTATTTCTGCAACGGAAGTCATTTAATTTATTATATATGTATTTCATAGCCCTTCCATATTAATTCCAATGTATCAATAATTTACCAAATCCATCGTAAATATAACGAAGATAATTTAAACGGACTAAAGATACCTGATAGGTGCCCTACCTGTCGTATAATTTGGTAAGTACCCAAGCACACGACTTGTATTACAAAATAATACAAAACAATACAGTAGGAATGGTAATAAAAAAAGGAAAACAATGAGCGTATATATAAATGCTCTACTTGAAATGGAGCACACAAGTGTTGAGTAGATATCATACTGCGCATATGCGCGCATATTTAGCTACCCCTTAATCGTATTTCTTAAACCTCCGCTAAACAACCATACCTTTTAGCCTCTGCTTAACTACCATATATATTAACACCCTCCCACCCTTCATTAGCCATATAATCTATTTAATTTCTGTTTAACCACCACTTCATACATTTAACTATTCCTTTAACCATTATATCTCTTTATCTCATTTCCGCTCAGCCACCATACCTTTTCAGCCTCTGCCTTACAGTCATACGTATTTAACAAACACACTCGTTTACCCCATTGAACCATCGTAACTCTTTGACAAATAGTTCATACGAGACCCCGGCACCATACCGGCATGAAGGCTGAACAAAGTATCAGTTCAATCTCCATGTCACAGGTACATTGAACATTATTGAATTGTGTTGTATCCATATATGATGACTTTCCGTGTAATGGGCTGTACGCTTTCGCTTGTAAATACGCAGTTATTTAGAGTGAAGTAATGCTAGACAACGTCAGTATCGGCATTGTGTTGGTAACGCTTACTGTCCCAGTAATCTATCGCTATACAGGCCTTGTGTTAATCCATCCAGTGATGTAGGAGACAATCCCCCTAGTTTTATGAGACAATACGATAAAGACCAGGACACTGTACCTGTAAATCTCATTGGTCAATAAACATACCGACATCCTGATATATCAGCCAATCAAAGTCCTATTTGAGCGTATCAATGAACACGGTGTGTAATTGTATTACACAATCCGCAATCGGCCTTATTGTTTATTTAGATTCTGTGAACGTGCCGTAATGTATAGCAATCTGGATACACAAAGACTCGATATCACTAAAAGTCACTAAATCAACAATTATGGAAACAACAAGTACGATTTAAACCAAAGTCGTTCTAACAGTGGCGTTTCTGTTGTCCAGCGCTGTCTTTGACCCCAGTATCATTTAACTAGTGGTATCTCGTTTGACCGGCGTTATTTCGTTAGCCGGCGTTATCTTGTTAACATTGATGCATATACTATGACGTATGTAAACAAGAGGCCCAGAGGGCCTGCATCGCTCACCTGGATATGTTTGAAATAATTAGTATGAAGTTAAGATATAGCACTCCATGGTAGGTGCTGTAATTATAAGTACATATGAAGTTTCAGAAAAATCCATCCAGTACTTGAGATATAACAAATTTCAAACAGAGCCCCACCCCTATGCCCCTAGGGGGTCATACCCACAGTTTATACATAGTAAGTCCCTTGGCCAAAGGATGATCTAGACTAAATAAGGATACAATCCCTTAATCCCGATGGTTGAAGAAGGATTTTGAAGGTTTTACCTCTATTTCCCCTTTNGGGTTGGCACACCCACCATTTATACAAAATTGAGTCCACTTGGCCTAAGGTTACTCCAGACCAAATTTAGTCAAAATCTGCTTGGCCGTTCAGGACTAGTAGCGTTTTAAAGGAAAAGTTGACGGACGGACGACGGACGCTGCGGTATGGCATAAGCTCACCATGGTCCTTTTGGACCAGGTGAGCTAAAAATATGACATCATGAATGCCAAATCATGACATCACGACATCACGACGAGCGGAAGAGAGGTTCACACCAGTCTGTCATGTCAGAACATCTATCCTATCACACGAAAAGGACCAGCCTTATAACCAATACCTACTTAAGAGTAAAATCCTTGTTTAAAATGATCCTTACAATATTTATATTTTCTTTATAAAGTTTGATCTTACTTACCTGGCACTGTTGTCTAACGAAAGAAGCTTTAAGATCCTTGCTTGGCAGTAACGTGCTGTCTGTGTCTCCATGGTAACCTCGCCAGGACTTGGAGGAAACATCAACATCCCGACGCTGGAAACACGGAAGTGACATCAGTTATACCTATTACTCACGAACAGCAAGCCCCTATATCGCCGAAACACAAAACCTTCCCAAAGCTGTGTTCAAACTTAGAACGTTACAGGAAAGAGTAGGCTAAAACCTGATCAGATGGCTGATGGTGAGCGAGGGTCAATAGCGGGATTCAACATATTTTTTTCTAAATACGAAATCAATCAAACTTATGAATCAAGCAACACTTCCATCGATGATCATTTCTACTCGCATGGAGTTGAATATAAAGATTTTCTATGGTAGGCAAAATTCTGTCAATTTTAAGTTAAATATGAGGTTATTTTGGTATAATGGTTTATGATCTGAAGTGTTTAAGCTTTGGTAATACGGATTCATACCAAGCTAAACACGCACATGTACCACATACACGGCTATGAACCTGCACAGGAGAGAATTATGTATATCGAACAGGGCCCTAATCGGTAAAAGTACAATGCTGGATATCCCCAAACATAGTTATCACTAGAGAGGAATGCGTACGCAAACATTTCTACAAATTTCTATTCAACGCAAAGATTTAAACATAATAGAGATATGTCTAAAGAAGGATTACCACTCCTAATGGACAATCAGTAGTGAATATGTAAAAAGTCCCACTCACTACAGCATAGCCCTCCGGTCAGTCATCCTGTCCAGGGGGTCGTTGAGAACTTGGTTCCGAAGTACGAACCTTAATCCTGCCGGATACAAAGAGGGCAGCTCCGGTATTTCAGAGTTTTCGTAATGAGGCCGATCACGTGATGATTGAGGGAACGCGTTACCCTCTGACTGCGGTCGTAGAAGACAATAGAACATCCTACTGACGGCATAAGCGTCGGATTTACTGTAGACATCCTTCAGTAACATCTGTAGAGGGAAGCAAAGGTGAGTGGTTAAACTATTCAAACATAAAGTAAGTTTAATGGATGGAATGCATTCATTTTGCCATTTTCCGAGGGTTTCATTCGAAACTCACCCCACAGTCGCCAACATAGTACAGACAAATAAATGCTCTTATTCTTCATTTTAATAGTTTTAAATGTCATTAAAATAGCAAAAATTGTACTTTTCGAGATGGTATTAAATAAAGTTCTGCTGAAACCTACATTGTATATCACAGCTGAAGCATACTGAACACCTACTCTTTCCTCAATGCTCCTAGGTGGACCATCGATACTCCATCTTGTCAGTTCCGGTGCCCACGCATGCGCATTACCCGCATAAACCTCTCGACTATTTGTAAAATATATGGACGAGTCGGACACCTCAGTCGTACGAGCCATCCCAAAGTCTGCCAGCACTGGTCTCAAACAGTTGTCAAGGAACACATTGTCCGCCTTGATATCACGATGGATGACACCATTTTTCTGAATGTAGTACACGGCAGAGAGGATTTGGTACAACAACTGTAGAACAAACGTAATGTCCAGACCGAACGAAGGCTCTGAGTGACTAGACCGGAACTGGACACTCATGGATTTCAAGGATTCTGGGAAATGATCAAACACAATAAACGTTGTTCGAGATGCCATTTCTATCGGAATATCAAACTTTGTCGGAATGATAAGACCAAGATATTTCTGGAATCTATTAGTTTGTCCGGTGTAGCTGTGTCTGACCTTGATAACGTTCACATGGTCGTTAAAGGCCACCGGAAGTTGATGCTCCGGGCCGAAACTATTTGCCAGGAAGTGTTCCATGCTGTACCCTTGACCGTGGCTGCTAGCCTCCAAATTGATGAGGTTTATCATCATCTGTTACCATAGAAATAGAAGGGCGAGTTAGGAGACAACAGAGGAAATAACGTATTGGTTAAGAATTCATTAACACATTTTTGAAATGAGTTTTACCTAACGTAAGCAAAAGCATTCACAAACGGGCACTATCGCCTTACATCGATCACGTGACACATATAGGTATGTTCATCCCTGTCTGAGACAATACAAAATGTTGAAAGCGTAATGTTTTCTATTTTCAACAAATCTTTTCAACGTCTATATCTTCTTTCTTGCTACTAGAGGAGACATGTATTGAAGGAAATCTCCGATTATGTAGGAGTCCCCAAATTATCCAGCGCTTACAAAACACATGCAATGAGATACAACATGCCTTCTCTTATTTCCTCCGATTTACCATAAGAAGAAGACACTGATAAACCACACCAGATTTTACAGGTTTATGAGCTTGAAACCGAAATCCGAGTTGAAGTGAGCCAGTTGTCTACTGTTTAATGAGTAACCTTGAACTCTGTATGCTAATTAAGAGACAATGACACCAATATCTGAGTGGATATAGACTCGATATCAACATCTGAGTGGATATAGACTCGATACCAACATCTGAGTGGATATAGACTCGATATCAACATCTGAGTGGATAAGGACTCGATATCAACATCTGAGTGGATATAGACTCGATATCAACATCAGTTGTAATGTGCTTGTTTTCAACACCATTTAGGTTGGAGCTCTGTATCAATTTCCGAGTGACAATTAAGTTATTTTGATTGTGTCTATGATCTAGTGATTACAACAATAATACTGCTGTAGGTATTGCAATACTGGTAATGATCTACTAATGACACTACATGAAATGATTTAGTAATTACATTATTGACAATAATCTAGTAATTGTAATTACATTATTAACAATGATATTGTAATTACAAAATAAGCAATGGTATTGTCATTTAACTATTGACAATGATCTTGTAACTGTTCTATTAGCAATGATTTAGAAATTACAAAATTGTAATTGTACTATTGGCACTGATCTATCAATTACATTATTGACATTAATTTATTAATTACACTACCCGCAATATTCTTGTCATCAAACTAGTGAGGATGATCTAGAAATTACATAAGTTGGAATTATTTAGTAATTACATTAGTAACAATGAGAGACATTGATCTCGGTCGGTATCGGTAACAACAGGAGTAGCAATGATCTCGGTAAATATACAAGAGTAGCAATGATCTCGGTAAATATACAGGAGTAGCAATGATCTCGGTAAATTAACAAGAGAAGCAATGATCTCGGTAAATATACAAGAGTAGCAATGATCTCGGTAACTATACAAGAGTAGCAATGGTCTCGGTAAATATACAAGAGAAGCAATGATCTCGGAAAATATACAGGAGTAGCAATGAAATGATCTCGGGAAATATACAAGAGTAGCAATGGTCTCGGTAAATATACAAGAGACGCAATGATCTCGGTAAAATACATGAGTAGCAATGATCTCGGAAAATATACAGGAGTAGCACTGATCTCGGTAATATACATGAGTAGCAATTATCTCGGTAAATTAACAAGAGAAGCAATGATATCGGTAAATATACAAGAGTAGCACTGATCTCCGTAGATATACAAGAGTAGCAATGATCTCTGTAAATATACAGGAGTAGAAATGATCTCGGTAAATAAACAGGAGTAGCAATGATCTCGGTATATATACAGGAGTAGCAATGAAATGATCTCGGTAAATAAACAGGAGTAGCAATGATCTCGGTAAATATACAAGAGTAGCAATGAAATGATCTAGGTAAATATACAAGAGTAGCAATGATCTCGGTAAATATACAGGAGTAGCAATGATCTCGGTAAATATACAGGAGTAGCAATGATCTTGGTAAATATACAAGAGTAGCAATGATCTCGGTAAAAATACAAGAGAAGCAATGAAATGATCTAGGTAAATATACAAGAGTAGCAATGATCTCGGTAAATATGCAGGAGTAGCAATGATCTCGGTAAATATACAGGAGTAGCAATGAAATGATCTCGGTAAATATACAAGAGTAGCAATGATCTCGGTAAATATACAAGAGTAGCAATGATCTCCGTAAATATACAAGAGTAGCAATGATCTCGGTAAACATACAAGAGTAGCAATGATCTCGGTAAACATACAAGAGTAGCAATGATCTCGGTAATATACAGGAGTAGCAATGATCTAGGTAAATATACAAGAGGAGCAATGATCTCGGTAAATATACAGCAGTAGCAATGATCTCGGTAAATATACAGGAGGAGCAATGATCTCGGTAAATATACAGGAGGAGCAATGATCTCGGTAAATATACAAGAGAAGCAATGATCTCGGTAAATATACAGGAGCAGCAATGATCTCGGTAAATATACAAGAGTAGAAATGATCTCGGTAAATATACAGGAGTAGAAATGATCTCGGTAAATATACAGGAGTAGCAATGATCTCGGTAAATATACAGGAGCAGCAATGATCTCGGTAAATATACAAGAGTAGCAATGATATCGGTAAATATACAAGAGTAGCAATGATATCGGTAAATATACAAGAGTAGCAATGATATCGGTAAATATACAAGAGTAGCAATGATATCGGTAAATATACAAGAGTAGCAATGATATCGGTAAATATACAAGAGTAGCAATGATCTTGGTAAATATACAAGAGTAGCAATGATCTCCGTAAATATACAAGAGTAGCAATGATCTCGGTAAATATACAAGAGAAGCAATGAAATGATCTCGGTAAATATACAAGAGAAGCAATGATCTCGGTAAATATACAAGAGAAGCAATGATCTCGGTAAATATACAGGAGCAGCAATGATCTCGGTAAATATACAAGAGAAGCAATGAAATGATCTCGGTAAATATACAAGAGAAGCAATGAAATGATCTCGGTAAATATACAAGAGAAGCAATGATCTCGGTAAATATACAAGAGAAGCAATGAAATGATCTCGGTAAATATACAAGAGTAGCAATGATATCGGTAAATATACAAGAGTAGCAATGAAATGATCTCGGTAAATATACAAGAGTAGAAATGATCTCGGTAAATATACAGGAGTAGCACTGATCTCGGTAATATACATGAGTAGCAATGATCTCGGTAATATACAGGAGTAGCAATGATCTCGGTAATATACATGATGGTACATTACAGATACATACGGGTAGACGTCACTGTATAATTAATACCTTCAGGATCTGTGTTTGACCTTTGTGTTTGATTTGGAACACCAGAGAGCAGCACCCATCCCTCGTGCCGCCTGAAAGCTGGTTCATTGGCTGTTCACCGATCAGTGTAAAGTCCTTCCCTGGCAACCATTCCTTATTTGGCACATCTAACTGACTAGGAGGGACATATTTTAACCAATGGGAATATAAGCTTTCCTTAAGGATCAATAACATTTGGTCACTATGGGAATATACACTTCCTCCTCTGGAAACTTTATCAAGGAAGTGTATAAAGCCGCTGAGTGAAAGTTGTGAGGTAGAATGTGGCGATTTGTGCGTTTTCCCAGTCCTTTCTTTATGGGAAAGTCGTAGTTGGGCATTTTCATGTTTTAGTATTTGGCATGCACTGGAAAATTGGTGAAACGTTTTTTTCATTAATGTTAGTTGTTGCTGCAGATTTGCATTTTCCTTTTGTAAATTTTCCACCATTTCTTGTTTTTTGAATAATTCCATTTGTAATGTTTCTGAGAAATTCTCAATAGTTTCATTATGCATATTTCCTACTACTTCCCTTACACATCCGACGGAAATCCGCGAGGGTCTAACGGATGTGGCTAGGCACTGTTGGGACATGCGCACATCGTCACACGACCCTAATAACGGTAGACCGCCATTTTTATCATCTCCGGAGAATACTGGAGGATTGCAAGGCTGAAACTCTGACAACACTTTTGTGGTAATTCCTCCATTTTGTTCTCTGTCACTTCCTTCCCGAGCGATCTTAGGACTTTTGTATCGCATAGCTACATCTACATTGATATTATTACACTGACCATTTATAGACTCCCGTCTACACAGTTTAGTCCGACTGTTTTCTTTGTTCGCTCTATCTTCAGTCCACGGAACTGTTCCTTCGTCCATGCTTTCCTCGGGCTCTGTTCTCCTGCGGAACCCTTTAAGATCATCCCGATATCGGAGGAAGCTGCTATCTGAAACTTTCCCCTTTTCCGGAGAAGCTCCTGGAAAAGAGTTGCATGATGTTTCATCGGCGTATTGATGAAATCCAGAAAAAGAATGAACCTGCTCCATCCCTCCGTTCGTTTCATTTGCATTTTGGTATTGCCCTTGAGCTGGAAGGCTACCGAGACTTGCATACCATTGACCTTGTGTAGCGTTCTCTTCCTGACTCTGAGACCCAGGACGACTTCGAGCTGACCGCTGAGGTAACGTTTGTTCGTAATTAGGTGGCGGTAAAGCGCGGTTGTGGTCGGAAAACGGGTTCTGGTTAAAAGCTGAAAATAAAATACCAATAATGTTGTATTATTGCCCGTGAAACAATTGCAAGAAGATTTAGAATCGAATAGAAAGAGAGCATTATATTGGTCATGATCTCTCCCACCGCTCACAGGTTTAGCCTGGGAAAATCGGCTAGTCACTTTCTGGAGGAAGTTAGCCTCGCGCTGAATAATGACATAAAAGTAAAGGGCAATAGGCGTACGCCACACGCGTTTCTGTTTACAAACATGCTAGACCACTGTCGGTTGGTTTATGACTTAAGTTATTATATTTAGCTGTAATTATATCCTATCTTTAGGGTGTAACAGAAAAATCTCCAACCCTCGGGCCGATGATTTGGTTATTCGGCATGAGGGTTAGACAACTAAAACATCACCCGGAGATTGGGTGAATTCTCTGTCACAATCTCAAGGTGAGGAGGATTCTATTACTCCATCATTGTTTTCTGAATTGGGATATGTAAGTGAACATACCCCTGGAATTTCGAGGAATTCCAATGCCACCAACATACACATGTTTGCTTCTTACATTGGTCTTACGTTATCCGGAGCAAGAAAAGCATCAAACCATTAGCGTTCTTATGGTTATGAACAATGTACTATGACTTGCTGCTGAGATGTAACAAGACAATACTTCGATCCTTAAACAATGACATTCTATTAATTATGTGTCCTTTTTAATACGAGTAATGGCCTTATCTTACCCGATATCTGACGTATTTTACTTACGGAGCATCTGCTGGTACAGATACGTCGACGTATGGTGGTGGCTATTGCCCTCCGCTTCGTCCGCCGCCGTTCGGCCTTTGTCGTTTTTAATGAAGAGGTCCGGTTGCGCCCGAACCAAGAGCCGAACTATCTCAATGTGTCCTCGGTAGGCTCCGACGTGAAGCGGCGTGTCCCCTCGTTTGTTCTGAATGTTCACATTGGCGCCTCTGTAACAAAAAAAAGAGAGACATGTTTGGTATTCAAGGATAATCACCCATCCTGACGTGAGGCAATACTTCTTTATATCAACAACGAAAGTTCAACGTTGTTTATTGTATATATAATTTAGATGCGGTTTTCTCAAACAAATAGTACTGAAAGACGCTGTAGTAAGAAATATTAATCAGACATTTCATCACATTTGGCACAACATGGTCAACATTCGAATGTGATCACCAAAGTTCCCACTGACTAATGAAGTTATGGACTGCTTTCACTGTCGATATTCGCATGTTTACCGCTCATTAAGTATATGTCAATATGTTTTCGGTAGAGGTAACACTAGTTTTGGTACCTACCGCCGGATGAGGAGGTCAACACACTGGATATGGCCTCGGTCTGCGGCTGCGTGTAGCGCTGTGGAACCCCACGCTACACGCGCATTGACGTCACTCTCGCTGTCAAGGAGCGCTTTACAGATCTGCACGTGACCGCGACATGAGCTCCAGTAGAGTGCGGTCTCGTCGTCTTTGCCCCGAATATGCACAGAAAAGTTTTGCCTCAATAAGTTTTCTACCTGCTGTTGAAGGCAACAGAATGTAAATTTATTATTGCATTTTTAACAATGTAACAGTTGGTGGTTAATGAATTAGTGTCAGCGTTTAATGACGTGATATTTGACTTCTGTCCATAAGCGCTTTAATTCAAACATACATGATATTAAAAAAAAAATCACCTTCATTTTGCAAAAGATGTCACGACGTTGACGTCATAACATACCTGTAAATTTCCATTTTTGGCAACGGTGATCAGATCTGGTATATCATTCATCATTCATCGCTAGCCTGGTGACCCCTACGTCAGAAACCACGCCCAAGGACATCACCTTAGCAACGCGTTCAGGGGCATAGCAATGTTTGTCGCGCGGTAGTGGAAGATGGAGCATGCTCTGTAAAATAAGGAAACTTAAGTGTTAACGATATTTGCTGAGTAATTGTGACAATTTTAGCATCAATGATGTAGCTTGCTATGTTAAGGATCCCTGTCCCTATAGCACTTCCGTTGGCCAGTTAGCTTACCCGGCTAGAGCGACAGAATACATGAAATAAACTGAGATCCAGGGGTTGATCTCTGTCTAGCTTTTTCCATTGTTTTTTTTACCCCCGAACACAAAAGTATCGCAAAATATTGTTTTCTTTTGAGATTGTTTTTTTCTCGAATCTAGGAACAGTTGCCGACAGGGACCTGATAACCTGATCATTATATACAGGGCACCTGTTTAAGTGTTAGAGGACATTTCCCACCAGTGGACATCATTATCTACAGGACACGTGTTTAAGTGGTCGAGGACATTTCCCACCAGTGGACATCATTATACACAGGACACGTGTTGAAGTGGTCGAGGACATTTCCCACCAGTGGACATCATTATACACAGGACACGTGTTGAAGTGGTCGAGGACATTTCCCACCAGTTGACATCATTATACACAGGACACCTGTTTAAGTGGTCGGGGACATTTCCCTCCAGTGGACATCATTATATACATGACACCTGTTTAAGCGGTAGAGGACATTTCCTTCCAGTGGACTTAGTTATATACAAGACACCTGTTAAGGTGGTAGAGGACATTCCCACCAGTGGACATCATTATACACAAGGCACCTGTTTAAGTGTTAGAGGACATTTTCTCTAGTAATGGTGTAAAATGAAGTTATTGAGTTTACAATAATTTGTATTGGACGGTTCACCTACCTTCAGTTGTAATGTTTAACCCCCACGGTCTCCTGTAGTATAACTGTGGCCGGGAGAGAAGTCCTTTCGTATATCAAGCTTGGAAAATAATGTCTGAAAGCAGAAATATATTAAGTATACATATCCGAACAACCATTACTAAGTTCTATTAAAAAAAATGAAGCGCAAAACCCCATACAGGATACCGAAACTTGTTGATGTAAAGTAGGTCGTGTATATATTTAGATTGTTTTTCAGGTTAACCCGAGTGTTATCGGTATTCCGTGTATAGAACTACCTCGAACATTGATATAACGTAGTATACGCATGTATACCTACAATTCGATACTGTACAGCCTGTAGTTATATACACTAAAAACTAGTTACTGTCATTAAACAAATCATTGTAATATATAATGATTACACAGGTAACCAACGAAAATATCACTGTGTTTACTTAAAATTATAAACATAAAACTACGTAAAAACGGATCATAGTGGGTGAATCTATTTATAGAGCGATGGTTTTACGGGGGAATGTTTGAGATAAAACTTGGAAAACCGTCAAATGATAGTTGTCTGTGTAGGTGTTGTTTTCTATGTTAGTAATACCACGATGTGTCGGTGTTATTTCCTGTGTAGAAGGGCAGCTAAGGTACTTACCACAATAGTGGATCGCTCTAACATTGTTTAACGTTGGCAACAAGCCATACTTTATACCTTCTACACGTACCACACCGTATACCATTTAAAGTTTTGCAACGATTCTATATTTTATTTGGCTCAGCCAATAGCACTCGCTACGATCTTACAAAGCGCATTTAATGTCAATAAACATACAACAAGGCCTGCTGTCCTCTTAGTTATAGTCTATCCTTCAATGTTAACAATTCAAAATTAATTTGCAATACATAATTCATAAAAAAAACTCTACACTTGACTGTTACTGTAACGGATCATTATTATATATAATAGTCAAAATTAATGGCCGGTTAATTTGGCCTAGGATTTTAAAGATAAACTTATATTGTTTTTTTTTCTAAACTAATCTTCATATGTTGTCTTTCTAACACTGATGTTTTGTAACCTCGTTCTCGTCCACTTGAAGTTTGTTCCTGGTTAAACCAAACGGACTGTAAAATAGTTACTTTCCAAAGATACTATTTTTTATAAATAATATTAATAATAAATGTTTTATTTGCGTGTCACACATTTTAAAATATATATATATATATATTAGTGTTGACTAAAATAATGCATGATTTCTAAAATACCCAGTCAGATATTGACTTACGAGACACAGAACATAATAAGAGTTATCAATCATGGTTAAAAGAACCACGTTTTCTCATGCATAACACTATTATTCTAGCTATAAAACACTGCGGAGATGCCTCATTCATTAGAGACATAAACTCATCCTTCGGATTCATATCTAAACAAAAATGATGACTTATGATTAGCATTTATAAAAAAGAGGTTCCCTGATTTCATTATAATTATCACAATCAAATAAAAAAAATGAATTTCTTATTCAACAGAGTTAGAGATACAATATATACAAAGTCTATCACATAATTGTTTTGTAGGTTTACTATAGCAAATAGATACAAAGTCTATCACATAATTGTATTGTAGGTTTACTATAGCAAATAGATACAAAGTCTATCACATAATTGTATTGTAGGTTTACTATAGCTGACAGTCTCTGGACATTATACTGGTCACGTAACGTTCAGGTTTATTTTTTTACATTTGTTTGGAGTTCCCTCTTTTGGTGTATGTGAACGTGATAATTCGAAAGCATGGCAAAATTACACGCATTTATATCGTACATCATATTGAATATTTAGTAGCGTATTTCGGTGATTCCAGTCTTCTATAAGTAGTATAGGTATAATAATCTCTCTACACTCTCCAGTCAGTGTGATTGTTTCAAATTTTGCATGCACAACAAGTTATAGACTAAGAAATTTTACACATCCATGAACTGCAATACCCTTCTGATGGTGAGCAGACAGACGGCATATATGATCTTCGAAATTAATGAACAATCACTCACAGCTTATATTCTCGTGATGGTTGTACGATGTAAACACTCAATATTAAATTTTTTGATCCACCAGTATGCCTATTTACATTTCCCAGGGCTCGTGTTGAGGAGCTCTTGCGTCTCCACTCATCCGTTACATTTAAATATTTCTCTCGTACTTGTATGTTCCTGTCCCTGCCTTTGTTATAAGCTATTCTCGAGTGTCATCTGCAAACAATTGCGTTTCAATACAAGCAGTTCCGAGAAAATCATAAAAGAGGTGGCCACATACTTCGACCTTGCAATAACCCGGAAGTGATATAACGAGTGTGCACTTTGAGGGACCGGTGTCAATGGTTTTCTTGTAATCCACGTTCAGTTAACAACAACCTATTATCCGGAGACTCGGCACACATGTCCGGGAATAAGAGCAGTTCGGAGAAGGCATGCTGCTAGTTTGCCTACAGATTTTCCGATGTTCTGTCTAGAGTTTCCGATGTTCTGTCTAGAGTTTCCGTTTTGCTGTCTAAGAGTTTCCGATGTGCTGTCTAGAGTTACCGAAGTGTTGTCCAGAGTTTTCCTATGTGTTGTCTAGAGTTTCCGATGTGCTGTCTAGAGTTTCCGAAGTGTCGTCCAGAGTTTTCCAATGTGGTGTCTAGAGTTTCCGATGTGCTATCTAGAGTATCCGATGTTCTATCTAGAGTTTCCGATGTGCTATCCAGAGTATCCGATGTGCTGTCTAAAGTTTCCGATGTGTTGTCCAGAGTTTTCCGATGTGTTGTCTAGAGTTTCCGATGTGCTATCCAGAGTATCCGATGTGTTGTCTAGAGTTTCCGATGTGCTGTCCAGAGTTTCCGATGTGCTGTCTAGAGTTTCCCATTTGTTGTCTAGAGTTTCCTATGTGTTGTCTAGAGTTTCCGAAGTGTTGTCCAGAGTTTTCCGATGTGTTGTCTAGAGTTTCCGATGTGCTGTTTAGAGTTTCCGAAGTGTCGTCCAGAGTTTTCCAATGTGGTGTCTAGAGTTTCCGATGTGCTGTCTAGAGTTTCCGATGTGCTATCTAGAGTATCCGATGTTCTATCTAGAGTTTCCGATGTGCTATCTAGAGTATCCGATGTGCTGTCTAGAGTTTCTGATGTGTTGTACAGAGTTTTCCGATGTGCAGTCTAGAGTGTCCGATGTTCTATCTAGAGTTTCCGATGTGCTGTCTAGAGTTTCCCATTTGTTGTCTAGAGTTTCCGATGTGTTGTTTAGAGTTTCTGATGTGTTGTCTTTAGTTTCCGATGTGCTGTCTAGAGTTTCCGATGTGTTGTCTATATTTTCTGATGTGCTGTCTATAGTTTCTGATGTGCTGTCTAGAGTTTCCGATGTGCTATCTAGAGTATCCGATGTTCTATCTAGAGTTTCCGATGTGCTGTCTAGAGTTTCCGATGTGTTGTCTAGAGTTTCCGATGTGTTCTCTATAGTTTCTGATGTGCTGTCTAGAGTTTTCGATGTGTTGTCTAGAGTTTCCGATGTGCTATCTAGAGTTTCCGATGTGTTGTCTATATTTTCTGATGTGCTGTCTATAGTTTCTGATGTGCTGTCTAGAGTTTCCGATGTGCTATCTAGAGTATCCGATGTTCTATCTACAGTTTCCGATGTGCTGTCTAGAGTTTCCGATGTGTTGTCTAGAGTTTCCGATGTGTTCGCTATAGTTTCTGATGTGCTGTCTAGAGTTTTCGATGTGTTGTCTAGAGTTTCCGATGTGCTATCTAGAGTATCCGATGTTCTATCTAGAGTTTCCGATGTGCTGTCTAGAGTTTCCGATGTGCTGTCCAGAGTTTCCGATGTGCTGTCTAGAGTTTCCGATGTGCTGTCTAGAGTTTTCGATGTGCTGTCCAGAGTTTCCGATATTTTGTCTAGAGTTTCCGATGTGCTGTCCAGAGTTTCCGATGTGTTGTCTTGAGTTTCCGATGTGTTGTCTATAGTTTCCGATGTGCTGTCCAGAGTTTCCGATCTGCTGTCCAGAGTTTCCGATGTGCTTTCTAGAGTTTTCAATTGGTTGTCTAGATGTTCCGATGTGCTGTCTAGAGTTTCCAATGGGTTGTCTAACCATCGTCTCCATCACGTTACAGATAACAGGAGGCAATATCTTCTGGGTTAACTTTTATATCCAGTTCTGTATATGGCACAGGATAAGTTTCAGATAGTTTACATTTGTATTACTATTTTAAGGTATATCATTATTTTGATGATCTCAGAAGTAAATATTTGATTGACTGATTGGTTGAATGGATTATTTTGATTTCCGTCTTCTCGTTGACGTAGTTCAAAAGGGACAATGTCAGCAGTACAAGTTATATCATTTAGGACGTCATAGGCAACATCAATAAAGAAAATAGATTTTATGGGAGAAATAGCGCAACGTCACACAGAATTGTCAAAGACAATATATAGTTATTAGGACTTAAACTCATCAAACAGGTGGACATAACAGTTATGTCGCGAAGGTCAATCAAAAAGGTATTTCTAATGATACGATAGACAACTTACACACAGCTAACCATACATCAACGATATACATTCAACCTGTAGTTTAAGTTAGAGTTAAAGGTAATTGCTACCTTATGATAGTAATAATTCGAGGTTCCTATATGCAGCTTTATCACAACCTAGTCCATAGGTCGTCTCAAAGCGGTTCACAAATTATTCTCCGGTGTGATAGGGCCTTTGCAACCAGCTAATATCTTTCTCAGCTCACTTTTGAGCATAAAGTCGGTGCTGCCATTTTGACGCTCTCAGCTAGCATTTAACAGTTCTAGCACTGCCCAACCACGTACTTATTTACAGCTGAGTAGACTGGAACAAGAGGAGTAAAGTATCTTGCTCAAAGATACAACACAGTGCCGTGCCGTGCCGTGCCGTGCCTCGTACCCGCAACCCTTAGGTCACGAGCCGGGCGTCCTACCACTAGACAACCGTGCCTCCTTACACATTATACATGTAACTGTAATTTGTTTTTATACACAAAAAATACTTAATCAACATTATGTATTTGCATTTTTTTTAAAGGTTTGTTTGTTTGTGTGTTTTAATATAGATA